TCACACCACCACCACCAGCCTGAACCATTGATACAAGGCAGGATGGATCCACCACACCATGACACCACCACCACCACCAGCCTGAACCGTGGATACAAGGCAGGATGGATCCACCACACCATGACACCACCACCACCACCAGCCTGAACCGTGGATACAAGCCAGGATGGATCCACCAAACCATCACACCACCACCACCAGCCTGAACCGTGGATACAAGGCAGGATGGATCCACCACACCATGACACCACCACCACCACCAGCCTGAACCGTGGATACAAGGCAGGATGGATCCACCACACCATGACACCACCACCACCACCAGCCTGAACCGTGGATACAAGCCAGGATGGATCCACCAAACCATCACACCACCACCACCAGCCTGAACCGTGGATACAAGGCAGGATGGATCCACCACACCATGACACCACCACCACCACCAGCCTGAACCGTGGATACAAGGCAGGATGGATCCATGCATTCATCTTACTTATGGCAAATTCTGACCCTACCATCTGAATGTCGCATCTGAAATCCAGACTTATCAGACCAGGCAACATTTTTCCAATCTTCTATTGTCCAATTTTGGTGATCCTGTGTGAATTGTAGCCTCTGTGTCCTGCTCTTAGCTGACAGGAGTGGCACCCAGTGTGGTCTTCTGCTGCTGTGCCCATCTGCTTCAAGGTTGGACGTGTTGTGCATTCAGTGATGGTATTCTGCATACCTTGGTTGTAACAAGTGGTCATTTGTGTTACTGTTGCCTTTCTATCATCTGGAATCAGTCTGCCCATTCTCCTCTGACCTCTGACATCAACAAGGCATTTGCCTCGACACAACTGCCGCTCACTGGATATTTTCTCTTTTTTGGACCATTCTCTGTAAACTTGAGATGCTTGTGTGTGAAAATCCCAGTAGATCAGCAGTTTTTGAAATACTCAGACCAGCCCATCTGGAACCAACAACCATGCCACATTCAAATTCACTTAAATCCCCTTTCCTCCCCATTCTAATGCTCGGTTCGAACTTCAGCAAGTCATCTTCACCACGTCTAAATGCCTAAATGCATTGAGTTGCTGCCATGTGATTGGCTGATTAGCCATTTGTGTTAGCAAGCAATTGAACAGGTAGACCTAATAAAGAGGCCGGTTAGTGTATATTTTCTAAAAGAAGACGCCTTGGAGAATAAAATGGTGTCATTTGCAATTTTTTATTCTGCGTAATATTTGTGCAGCTATTTATCCAATTTATATTTTTAGGAAAAATACTCTAAAATTAGTGCAAGCAAACACAATATAATAACAGATTTTTTTTTTCTTTGGTAAATAAAAAAAAGATGAGGTTACATCAAGTAAATAGATACCAAACATGTCAAGTTTTAAAATTGTGTTTGCCCATGAGAGGGTAAGAAACTTCAGCACCCAAAATAGTCCATAAGTGACGTTTTAAAATTCTTTACAGGCTATCAGTTTAGAGATAACCATAAATGATGGCTCTAGAATTATTGATATCACTCCAACGTTGATACTTGACTTGTGGTATAATTGTTACATATACTGATGTTCCCCAAGCTCCTCCCACTCGCCATCCTGAACAGTTTACCAAGGTCATGGGCTCCTCAGAGGAACCTAGGAACCTCTGAAGGCTGCAAAAAGTGACCGTGCGGCTCTTGGGGGGGGGGGGGGGGGGGGGGGGGTGCCCAATTTTAGTGCTGCCTAGGGCAGCACAATGAGTAAATACACCACTGTCTGTAGAATCCCTTTCGAAGCTGGAAATCAAGTACACACCGCTACTACACTGCTACTCCAGTGATCTCCAATAGCTTCCAGGTCCCGTGCTGAGCGGCTGCCTTGCTGTATTGTGAACACAGGAGTTCGGCCGCTGGGCATGGGTGCCATTCAGATGATGCTTTGCATTTTCTCATTGATTGCAAACTGTTTTCTGATCGGATGAGGTGGAGAGGCAGGGAGGTGATGTCACATTCCTTACCTCATCCAATCAAAGAATACTTTGCATTCATTGAGAAAATGTATCCTCTGAATGGCACCCAAGCACAGCGGCCGACCTCCTGTGTTCACAATTCAGCAGGGCAGCCGTTCGACACAAGTCTTGGGAACTTTTGGAAATCAGTGTAGTAGCCAGTGGGTTTATTTAGGGTTTGTGCTGCCCTAGGCAACACAAATATTGCCCCCCCCCCCCCCTCCACAGAAACAGCTCGACATTGACCAAGAACACCCGTGCCCTCCACCCGAGCCTTCCAGTACCACTGCCCCCCATACACCAGCCACCATCCCCCATGGCTTGAGAGAGAAAGACACTCACCTTCGAAGCTCCGGACATCCCCAGGAACGAGAGTCGGGCTGTGCATACACCGTCATGAAACCCACAGCATCTCTCGGAACCCACCAGGTCCCCATGCCGCGTGTGTCCCTTCTTCAATCCCTTCTTCCAAGGGGCAGTGCTGCCCCCACCCTGAAAAGTGCCGCCCTAGGCAAATGCCTTGTTTGCCTTGTGGTAAATACACCCTTTGTAATAGCTGTGTCTACAACAAACTTTGGTACCTTATATTTTCCATTGGCAACATTTTAAAAGCCCCTTCAGGTCATCCATTTAGAACTAACCGTGAATAAGAGGCCTAGAATGATTGATCTCACTCTGATGCATGTGGTGATATGTAACGTGTATCATAGTTACATAGTTAGTCTGGCTGAAAAAAGACAAAAGTCAATCCAGTTCAACCATAAAAAAAGTTATAATCCTACACCCACAGTTGATCCAGAGGAAGGCAAAAAAAACCCAGCAAAGCGCGATCCAATTTGCATCCTGCAGGGGGAAAAATTCCTTCCTGATCCCCCGTCAATGCTAAATATTGGGTGATGAGTAGGAAGCCAGAAGGATTCTGAAAGCTACCATTCTCAGGAGGTATGTAGACACTGACCTGGAACAAACTTGCGACCAGTAGAGTGCCGGGACACCCCATATCCACATGAAAGTTACCGATAATTGGGAAAGGAAGGATCAGGATGACAGTCTTGGAGCAACCCTTCAATCCACCAAGATCCACAACAGCCGTAGGATGGGGGTTTGGCTGTTGTGGGGTGGGGTTGTTTTTCCTCCATATGTAGTTGAGAGGGCCACAAACGTTTCTCTATCAAGGGAACCTTACCCATCAGGACAGAAGTCTGGGAGCTGTCATTATGGGAGCTGACTTGATACTACAGGGTTGTTGCTCAGATCTCTACTTGGGTCACTTACCTGGAACAAGTGCAGACCATGTGTTTTCTGTGATATGCACAAGCTTGTAGCAGGTAAGTGTCTCAAAGGCAATTATACAGCAAAGCACGATCCAATTTGCTCCTGCAGGGGAAAAAATTCCTGCCTGATCCCCCGAGAGGCAATCGGATATTCCCTGGATCAACTTTCCCTATAAATGTTATATCCAGTTATATTCTGTGCATCCAAGAAAGAATCCAGGACTTTCCTACAGCAATCCACTGAGCCGGCCACAACCAACTCTTGAGGGAGTCTATTCCACATTCTCACAGCTCTTACTGTGAAGAAACCTTGCCGTGTTTGGAGATTAGATCTCTTTTCCTCCAGTGATTTCCAGCTTCTACAGAGATCCCACAGGTATGGTACAGTATACACATAGTTACGTTTGTCCAAGCTGAAACAATGTTACAATGTAAAAATGAATCTACTATCCTACTATGCAGGTTGATTCAGTGGTCAGTAACATATAAATGAACACTAGGAGCTGTGCTTACTATGGAGCTTAATGATCCAAATGTAGATAACATAAAGGAGATTAAATAACATATCATAACTTGATTGGGACGGATATTCCAACGCGGGTCTATTAATGGCACGGCAGACATAAACATGTTTGAGAACGAAAGGTAGATGAGCGCGTGTTCCAACCCTGACCTGCTTCTCTCTGAATCTCATTACAAGGAGCATCGGCGAGGACCTCCAGGGAGCACTGATGACCTTTGCTCGCAATCTGTTCATCATCCATCAAGAAATATCAGCGCCCAAAATGCAGGGAGAAACTAATTTCAAGGTGAGCTGTTAATTAACTAACGATTTCAGCTCTGTTTCACAAGTCAGTGGTAAGGGAAGTGGACAGGAGAGCTCCATTCATTATGGAAGCATCTCTCCGGTTCTGGTAATTACTGTCCTACAAGAGAAACGGGCAGTTAATGATCGGCACGAAGTTCCTATCACTGGGAGGATTCCATGGAACAATCAGATGATTTATACAGGGAGGTCACCTGCATCAATAGGGAGCTGCTAATGGATGACATGTACATAGAACATTACATGGTATGTACAAAACAATCTGCACTGGAAACACGACAAAATGCTCCAAATGTACTCTCATTATCCAGGAACAAATGGGGAAAAACAGAATTAAAAAATAGCCTGAACCCTTGTGCTGTCAGAGCTGATTTGCGTTTAATTCCCTGGCGCGCCGACGGTGCGCAAAATGTGTAAATGTGCAGGGGGCGCACAGGGTGCGTTCTCGGCACATGTTGGTTTATATTGGCTACGCAAATATGCGGCCTCCCGGCGTCAAGGCCCAGCTGCCAGGAGGCCACATATTTGCGAACCAAGTGTAAGCAAACGTGCCGAGAGTGCGCGCCCTGTGTGCGCCCTGCACATTTAGTCTCCATGCACATGGGGTGTTTTGATAACGCTGGTAACGTTAGCTGTGTAAAGTCATGTTAAAAATGTGTTTTTCAGCTTTTTTTAGCGTTTTTGCATTAGTGTTTAGCGGCGCTTTTTCGCGTTTGCGTTTTTTTTAGCATTATTTAGGTTTTTTTGACCAAAAAAATATTTTTTTTTATCAGAAAAAGTCCAAAAACACTGACTTGTGGCATTTTACCATGTTTGCCGCATTTTTCAGCATTAGAGTGTTTTTACTACTGAGTGGGTGATCAGCAGAGCTGGGGGTTACTACTGAGTGGGTGATCAGTAGAGCTGGCGGTTACTACTGAGTGGGGGATCAGCAGAGCTGGGAGTTACTACTGAGTGGTGGATCAGCAGAGCTGGGGGTTATTACTGAGTGGGGGATCAGCAGAGCTGGAGGATACTACAGAGTGTGGAATCAGCAGAGCTGGGAGTTACTACTGAGTGGGTATCAGCAGAGCTGGGGGTTACTACTGAGTGGGGGATCAGCAGAGCTGGGGGTTACTACTGAGTGGGGGATCAGCAGAGCTGGTGGTTACTACTGAGTGGGGGATCAGCAGAGCTGGTGGTTACTACTGAGTGGGGGATCAGCAGAGCTGGGGGTTACTACTGAGCGGGGGATCAGCAGAGCTGGTGGTTACTACTGAGTGGGGGATCAGCAGAGTTGGAGGTTACTACAGAGTGGGGAATCAGCCAAGCTGGGACTTACTAGCCAGAAAATGTCATCAGCAGTCACTTCTGGTTCATACGTATATGTTCTGGAAGTGTCTGGTGTAGACGTCACATCTGGTGTGCAGCAAGGAGTGGTAGGAAGATGAGCGGGGTCCAGAACAACTAGTTGATGCCACACATTGTGTGCAACATGAAAACGCTATAATGGAAGCTGAGGGGGACTGGAGAGAGAGGACTGAGTGGCAGAGGATCAGCAGAGCTGGGGGACCAGAGCAGGAGAAACTAACAATGTCACACCTGGTATGTAGTGTGGGAGCAATATAGAGGGAGGTGAGTGGGAACCAGAGAGAGAGGAGGATCAGCAAACCAGAGGATTAGCAGAGCTGGGCGTTACTACTGAGGAGGGGATCAGCAGAGCTGGGGGTTACTATTGAGTGAGGGATCAGCAGAGCTGGGGGTTACTATTGAGTGGGGGATCAGCAGAGCTGGGGGTTACTATTGAGTGGGGGATCAGCAGAGCTGGGGGTTACTATTGAGTGGGGGATCAGCAGAGCTGGGACTTACTACTGAGTGGGGGATCAGCAGAGCTGAGGGTTACTACTGAGTGGGGGATCAGCAGAGCTGTGGGTTACTACTGAGTGGGGGATCAGCAGAGCTGTGGGTTACTATTGAATGGGGGATCAGCAGAGCTGGGGGTTACTACTGAGTGGGGGATCAGCAGAGCTGGGGGTTATTACTGAGTGGGGGATCAGCAGATCTGGGCATTACTACTAAGTGGGGGATCAGCAGAGCTGGGAGTTACTACTGAGTGGGGGATCAGCAGAGCTGGGGGTTACTACTGAGTGGGGGATCAGCAGAGCTTGGCGTTACTACTAAGTGGGGGATCAGCAGAGCTGGGAGTTACTACTGAGTGGGGGATCAGCAGAGCTGGGGGTTACTACTGAGTGGGGGATCAGCAGAGCTGTGGGTTACTACTGAGTGGGGGATCAGCAGAGCTGTGGGTTACTATTGAATGGGGGATCAGCAGAGCTGGGCGTTACTACTGAGTGGGGGATCAGCAGAGCTGGGAGTTACTACTGAGTGGGGGATCAGCAGAGCTGGGGGTTACTACTGAGTGGGGGATCAGCAGAGCTGGGAGTTACTACTGAGTGGGGGATCAGCAGAGCTGGAGGTTACTACTGAGTGGGGGAATCAGCAGAGCTGGGGTTTACTATTGAGTGGGGGATCAGCAGAGCAGTGGTTTACTACTGAGTGGGGGATCAGCAGAGCTGGGAGTTACTACTGAGTGGGGGATCAGCAGAGCTGTGAGTTACTACTGAGTGGGGGATCAGCAGAGCTGGGCATTACTACTGAGTGGGGGATCAGCAGAGCTGGAGGTTACTACTGAGTGGGGGATCAGCAGAGCTGGAGGTTACTACTGAGTGGGGGAATCAGCAGAGCTGGGGTTTACTATTGAGTGGGGGATCAGCAGAGCAGTGGTTTACTACTGAGTGGGGGATCAGCAGAGCTGGGGGTTACTACTGAGTGGGCGATCAGCAGAGCTGGGGCTTACTACTGAGTGGGGGATCAGCAAAGCTGGGGGTTACTACTGAGTGGGGGATCAGCAGAGCTGGGGTTTACTACTGAGTGGGGGATCAGCAGAGCTGGGAGTTACTACTGAGTGGGGGATCAGCAGAGCTGGGAGTTACTACTGAGTGGGGGATCAGCAGAGCTGGGAGTTACTACTGAGTGGAGGATCAGCAGAGCTGGGAGTTACTACTAAGTGGGGGATCAGCAGAGCTGGGGGTTACTACTAAGTTCGGGATCAGCAGAGCTGGGGTTACTACTGAGTGGGGGATCAGCAGAGCTGATGCTTACTACTGAGTGGGGGATCAGCAGAGCTGAGGCTTACTACTGAGTGGGGGATCAGCAGAGCTGGGGGTTACTACTGAGTGGGGGATTAGCAGAGCTGGGGGTTTCTACTGAGTGGGGGATTAGCAGAGCTGGGGGTTACTACTGAGTGGGGGATTAGCAGAGCTGGGGGTTTCTACTGAGTGGGGGATCAGCAGAGCTGGGGGTTACTACTGAGTGGGGGATCAGCAGAGCTGGGGGTTTCTACTGAGTGGGGGATTAGCAGAGCTGGGGGTTTCTACTGAGTGGGGGATTAGCAGAGCTGGGGGTTACTACTGAGTGGGGGATTAGCAGAGCTGGGGGTTACTACTAAGTGGGGAATCAGCAGAGCTGGGCGTTACTACTAAGTGGGGAATCAGCAGAGCTGGGCGTTACTACTAAGTGGGGAATCAGCAGAGCTGGGAGTTACTAATGAGTAGAGATTCAACCAATAGAACCATGTTTTGATGAATATACTGGTGGTCCCTTTAGGGGAGCTAGTTAAATCTTCCAGCTATTTATGCAGCACAGACAATTCACACAGCACTTTACATACTGTACATTGACATCAGTCACATGCGCATACTAGGGCCAATTTAGAACGGAGCCATGAAACCTACCTGCATGTCTTTGGAGTGTGGGAGAAAACCAGAGTAGCCAGAGGAAGTCCACACATGCACAGAACAAACATGCAAACTCAATGCAGATAGCATCATGGTTGGGATGTGAACCGATGACCATAGTGCTGCAAGGCAGACGTTAGGGTTAGGAAGTGCGGTCAATGATTCTAGGGGAATCTATGGTAGCATAGAAAGTTGGAATCTTCCTAATACGACCAAATTTTGGGAGCTCAGGTCTGCCACAGTATAAAGTTGGCCATACACTGTTCAAATTTCGACTGGTACCTCTTGGCCAACATCCTGGCAAAAAAGAAACCCAAAACGTGCAGACTTGATGGACCACGTGGTCTCTTCCTGTGTTTCTAACTGAAATACTGAAGGAGCCTGGTGGAAAACCTACAGTTGCAAGAAAAAGTATGTGAACCCCTTGGGATTACGTGGAGTTTTGCATGAATTGGGCATAAAATGTGCTCTGAACGTCATCTAAGTCACAACAATAGAAGAACACAGTCTGCTAAACATAATACTACACAAACATTAGATGTTAGCGGGCATTTTGATACCAAATACAGTACTAAGTGAAGGGAAAATTCTTTTGCAAAGCGAACAGCCTATTTGGCTTTAGTAAATCAACCCCACAGTTGTAGTTTGATTGGATGATGGGCCAGTGACTGCTAAATTACATAGTTAGTCTGGCTGAAAAAAATACAAAAGTCCATCTAGTTCAACTATAGAAAAAAAAAATAAAAAGTTATAATCTTACACCCACAGTTGATCCAGAGGAAGGCAAAAAAAACCCAGCAAAGCACGATCCAATTTTTCTCCTGCTGGGGAAAATTCCTTCCTGATCCCCCGAGAGGCAATCGGATATTCCCTGGATCAACTTTCCCTATAAATGTTATATCCAGTTATATTCTGTGTATCCAAGAAAGAATCCAGGACTTTCCTACAGCAATCCACTGAGCTGGCCACAACCACCTCTGGAGGGAGTCTATTCCACATTCTCACAGCTCTTACTGTGAAGAAACCTTTCCATGTTTGGAGATTACATTTCTTTTCCTCCAGACGTAAAGAGCGCCCCCTTGTCCTCTGTGATGACCTCAGGGGGAATAAATACACCGAGTTCAAATATTGCTACACATTGTATTTTATACAGCCGTTGATTGGTTGCTACACGGTACACAAAGATACTTTCTCTTTTTTTGCATTTTAAAAAGGAGATTTGTAAAGACTTTGCAACAGTTCCATAATGCGTACAAACCAGGGGCGGACTGACAACTCATGGGGCCCCCGGGCAATAGGGGATCATGGGGCCCCTGTGTCCTTACCCACACTCAAAAAAGCCTATGAAAAAGCTACCAGGGGCATTTCATGGGGCCCCCTACTGACCCCGGGCCCTAGGGCAGTGCCCGAGTGCTCGAATGGTCAGTCCGCCCCTGGTACAAGCTTTACATTTCGTGGTCAACCTGAGATTTCCTATTGAGAAGAAGTGAGAATTGGTACGGGAATCACTGTAAATAAACTGCCCCTCCTCCCCAGTACTGTCTGCTGGTTATATTTTGAATGAGTGTCTTGTCTTTATATAAATCCAGAGAGCAGCTCATTTTAGAGTTTACTGGTTATTGATTTTCTTCTGTGCAGGACTGCGTGCAAGAAATAGAGACGATTCTGGGTGTTGCAGAAGAAAACAAGCTGGTGTTTGAACAATAAAATCCCAGCATACCTGGCGTTACAGCGGAGATAAAGAACAATGGACGGCATGCCTTCTGTTTCCGTATCTACTACATGGCAAGACCTTCTCCATATCGTTCCTCCAATAGCTGGGACTATACATCTGATGTGAATGTCATCCTTTATTCCCAACCAGGGTGTTCTGCGACCCTAGGGTGCCTCCAGATGTTGCTGGGGGTTCTTTGAGAATGGTCAATTTCTGCATCTCAAGTCAATAACTACAGACGCCATATCTGTTACTATCTATTAAGGGGGCAATTGTTCCTAATGGGTGCCAATGTAAGGGACAATATTCCCACTGATCAACAGTGTAATGGGGCCCTTCTCCAATGACCAGCAATGTACAGTCATGGCCGAAATTGTTGGCACCCTTGATATTTTTATCCTGAAAATCAAGTATTTTCACACAGAAAAGGTATTGCATTAACACATGTTTTGCTATACACATGTTTATTCCCTTTGTATGTATTGGAACAAATATAAAACAGAGGCAGAAAAGCAAATATGACATAATGTCACACAAAACCCCAAAAATTGGGCTGGACAAAAGTATTGGCACCCTTAACTTAATATTTGGTTGCACACCCTTTGGAAAACATAACTGAAATCAGTCGCTTCCTATAACCATCAATAAGCTTCTGACACCTCTCACCCGGAATTTTGGACCACTCTTCCTTTGCAAACAGCTCCAGGTCTCTCTTATTGGAAGGACACCTTTTCCCAACAGCAATTTTAAGATCTCTCCACAGGTGTTCAATGGGATTTAGATCTGGGCTCATTGCTGGCCCCTTCAGAACTCTCCAGCGCTTCTTTGCCATCCATTTCTGAGTGCTTTTTGAC